AATCTTGCTGTTCTCTCATCTCCCATTATAGTACATATGAATGATTTTATGGCACACATCTCTTTCTACCATTTGATTATTATTTGCAACATTGATTCATCTCCTAATCTATGGTGCCCCAGTTTAAACTGCCACCATCACTTACCTTGACTAATGCCAACCGCCTCCTAATTGGTCTCCATGCATCCATTCTTGGCCCTGTTTCATTCATATCTCAGTAGCCAGAGTAATTTTTCTAAATTATAATCAAGCAACTAATCTACTCAAAACATTTAAGTGGTCTCCCATTTCTCTTATATTAAGACCCAAATTTCTTACCATGGCCTGAACAGCCAGGTCTGAACTGACTTCACTGTTTCCCTTTCCCATTATGGTAAACCATCCTTCCTTGACCTCTTTATGCGACAGCCAAGCTTAACTTCTTTCAGTACTTAAAACACCTAATGCTGTTTCTTTCTCAAGGAAGAAAACACTGGATGCCACCTTTTCTGCCGAAACACTTTCTCCCTCACTCTTCACGATGCTACTTATTTTTAATGTTCCAGATGAAATGTTAGGTCCTCAGAAAAACTCTTTGACCTTCAGTTCCTTGTTTGTTTCTTCCATTGTACAAACTGAATTTATTCTCTTTTAAAAAGTATTTCAGGTTATTTTTACTTGTCTGTCTTCCCAACTGAAATGTGAGCTCCATAAGATTGGGAAACATGTACACCTTGTTTTGTATTGTATCACCAACACCCAGCATAGTGCTTGACACAGGGTTCAACAAATAGATAGTGAAATGGTATTGGGTGCCAGAATGTCACCTTTAGTCAGTACACTCAGGGTCTCTTAAGGGGTATTAGTAAAGCTTGAAAAACTATATTGGTAAGTTCTCAACACCCTGAATCTATGAAATTATATTTTTTTCCCTGAAAAACTTTGGGACTCTTTAGTATAAATTATGGTGACTCTCCATCAGTTTAGGCAATATTAATACAATGTAATATAATAAACTTGGAAAGAAAATCTACTAATCATTTTTAAGTATATATAATGAGAGACAACTTTTAGAAATTGCACAGATATTTATTTTTCAGTGGTGCTCCATGGAAGCATATGATGAATGTTACCTAGATTTCAATGAATGCCCCTCAATATCTACATTTACTTCCATAGATATCTCATTGAAAAAAAAAGAGAGACTACTTGGTATAGGTAGCGATAGTCTAAGAAGCTTTTATAAGAGTTAAGACATCAAATGGATACTGAAATATCTATTGAACATACTCTCTATATCAAGAATTCTATGGGGAAATTGTAGCCTACCATTGAAAGTCTTCATTTAGAATGCAGCATAATATGTATGTCTATACCAAGGATCAAATATGTGATCAAGAACAACTTCCTTGGTTTCACTCTAAAAGGAGAACCATTTCTTTAACATGGAAGCCTTGGGCCTCTTTCCTATGTTTCAGTAGACCATGGTCAGAGCTGTTAGAGATGGTGTTTAGTAAATGAATATGAGATCATGGAAGTCTCAAAAAAGAGAATGTGGCCGAGTGTGGTGGCTCATGCCTGTAATCCCAGCACTTAGGGAGGCCAAGGCAGGCAGATCACGAGGTCAAGAGATCGAGACCAACCTGGCCAACATGGTGAAACCCTGTCTCTACTAAAAATACAAAAATTAGCTGAGCGTGGTGGCACATTACTGTAGTCTCAGCTACTCTGGAGGCTGAGGCAGGAGAATTGCTTGAACCCAGAAAGAGGAGGTTGTAGTGAGCTGAGATCATGCCACTGCACTCCACCCTGGCAACAGAACAAGACTCCATCTCAAAAAAAAAAAAAAAGAATGTTTGCCCGAACTGAGTTTCCCAGAAAACAGAGATCAAAGCAACAACTAGAGAACTATTGTACTATTTCTTTACCAGTAGAAAAATTTCAAAGAGCCAGGACAGAGAAAACTGGAAATGGAAAGAAGGAGAGATAGCAAATACATAGTGCCTAATGGTGCTGAATTCTGCTTTCTATCAAGCAAAGCTCCATTTTTTAGGATGATCTTCCAAGTCCCAGTAAACCATTGCTAATCTCAGGTTGGTAGGTCCCAATGTTGGAGAGCGAAAACTTGACCCCTTGATTACTATTTTATTGTAGGTCAATGGCACACCTACAAGACGTGGTGCATACAAAATACACTTCAGAGTTGTGTCTATGCAGAAGCCAGGTGGGAATTCAGCATCTCAGTCTACAGTGGCATTGGTGAAGCCCAAAGTCTTAGTCATGGTCATTATACATTTATTTATATACACGCACACACAAACACACATGCACACATGTATTCCTATACATACATATATATATTTACTCATTTAAGAGAGCTTTTGTCCTGTTACCATATGTCAAGCACTTTTCTAGGCACAGAATATTCACTACTGATGAAAAAGCCATATTTCATATTCTTATTGAAATTATAGTCTAGTATAAAGGAAAGCCCTTTACTCAAAAAAAATAAAAATATTTTAAGATCTCTACAGGTTTAAAGTTTTTATCTCACAGCATTATATATATATACGTATATATATATGTGTGTATATATATGTATATATATGTATATGTATATGTATATATATATACACATATTGCTTTTTCTCCAGCTGTATCTCATGTAGATACTACTAACAGACCTTTCACAGGATTATTTGAAAACAAAACAAGGAAGCCAGGCATCTTTACCATATCTAGGAACATTAGAACAACCCTCAGGAAGAAATAGAATTTTGTCTAATCCACCACACATCTGTGAAAGGGAAATAAGTTTGAATTCATAATTCGCTTGTACCACAGGACTAGTTTAACAATAAAAAATGGATAGTAATAAGGTATGACACCACAGAGATTGGGAGATAAGGTAAATGTAGCCTAGAACCTTTTCAACCCTAGTTAATGAGAATCCCCAAACACCACCAGACAACTTAATAGACCTAGCCATTACTTGAACATTTTGCCTTCTAGGCAGCTTCCTATTCTTTCATTAATTCAAAACTTCAAAAGCACCAAGCTACATTTCATTCACAAATTGGATGAGATGTTAAATTAGGGAGATGGCATCTGAATCACTCAAGGTTGTTAGGCTTGTCGCAGTCAATATAAGCCACAACTCTCTCACATGCGTAGAACTGCTCTACTTACAGAATGCGGCAGCACTTCTACCTGCACATACATCCTGACAAGGTTTGCCCAGCAAGAGTCAGCTTCAGTAAAGACACAGGTACTTTAAAGCTGATGACACTTATTCAAAAGTAAAATCATGATGGAGAGAAAGAACACAAGCACAGCACACATTTCTCAGGCATTTCTAATCACTTAATACACTGAAATCTATACCTTGAAATCAAAGGCCCTCTTTATTATAATACATATATTTTTAAAATAATCTTAAGTAAATGAGAAAGCTGACAAACCTTTAAAAACTCACTTCACTTTATCATTTATTTAATAAATCAATTTTTACAACTTACATATGCTTTGAAAAATTTTTAATCCCAAAATATTTAGTGTAGTTTCTCCCCTGCAAAATAGTGATTCTTATATTTTAATGTAAAAAAAAAATCTACATGATAAATAAAACAAAATGCGGACATACAGGTGCTATCATTGTCAATCGAATTACTCTAATTAAACAGCATTCAAATAATAAACAATTTAAAGGATAAGGAGGTGTTTTTGTTTATAAATGTTGGTATGTGTGTGCACACAATCATGTGCATGCATGCACATGCATTTGATCTTATAAATATGTAAGCAACTGCAAATGTGAGCCCAAAAGTGGGTGTAAAAATGAACCTCTTTTTGGTTACAGGCTACTATGAAGCATCAGTAATTGCATATTTACATTAAATGCATATAAAGACTATTGTTTTCAAGATATAGGAAAAGGGGAAAGATTGCACCTCATCTGGACGTAACCAGAGATGTAGATTTAGGAAAATAGTGAGCCACTCATATCCAGAATTGGAGCATCAGTGGATAAAGAGTTTATGAATTTGATTCTATCAAAAATGGATCCCTGATTTAGGCGAACATAAAGTCTCTGCTTTTCATACTCATTGTGCTGCAAGATATAGAGAAGTTATTGTACTTTAAAGTATAAAAAGTAAACAGGCTGAGGTTCTTGTGATTTTTGCCAAGGTCAACATTCAGAATTCACCCTTCCCTCATCTACCCTATCAGGCACAGCTCAGGGTAGGCCCCCAGGAGAGACAATGCAAAAATGTGCGGAAGTCTACTTGACACTGACACTAGTCTTCTGAGCAGTAGAAAAGAGAAGAGAGAGAGAGAGAGAGAAAGGGAGCGAGACAGAGAGGACAGAAATACAGAAAGAGAAAGACTTTACAGAATAATCTTCAGATAGAGAGAAAAAAAATGGTTTATGTCCAAAAGCATAAACCATTCAGTCAATAGGACAATCTACCAAATGTAAAGAATGGTTATAAAAGGGATTAAGAAACATGGCAAAAGTACAAATATAAGTAAAGAATTAAGAGACGTCGATGGGGATGGTCAAAGACACTATGATGATGGGTTCAGCAAGCCCTTGACTCTCCACAAGTTGAAGAGAGAAGAAAAATGGGCTTAGTCCCATATTTAGGAATACAATTTGGAAGCAAACATTAAACTATTATTCTATTACTTTATTACCATTTCAATATAGGACCTACTAAGGCAAACCTAGGGTTTGCAATATAGGCTGGGTATGTTCTTTAAAGAGTTTCGTTAATTATTTAGGAGAATGAGTAGGGTGCCTCTATTAAACCAATATTTATTCAGCACTTACTATGTCCTAGATACTCTTTTAGGTGCTTGAAAGAAATTAGAGAACAAAACAAAAGGCTCCGTCTTTTGCTCTTTATGTTTTGGCAGAAGAGAAAAAATAAACAGTGAACATAACAAATATGTTGTGTAGTATATTAGAAGGTGACGAGTGTTAATTCTTCTAAGGAGCATTTTAGAGTCACAGTCTCCCTTAATTACTCTCTCCTTGTCGGCCACTGTTAGTAGCTTTAGTTTCTGAGATGCCAAACAGAGCCATAAATTAAAACTCCTCTCTCCTGAGTGGAGTCACTCAAAACAATTGCAACTGGGTATGGAACATGCTGGTAGGCATTCTGCCATACCTACAGAATCACATTACTAATTTTGAAGCCTCACTTTTATAGTTACCTCTCTCCTTCACTTCCTTCTTCTAGGCCTTTAGAATATCTCCAAACCCTAGGGACTCACTGGCTCTATGATCTGCACTACTGGAAGCTGAGTGCTGGTTAATTGAGGATGATGATGAGGAAGAGAAGGAGTGACTCACTATTATCTGGTATCATTGCTGGGTCTTGAAGGCGAGAAAGACCATGTGGCTGACAGAGGTTTAGGAAGACCGAACACACACGACTCAAACTGGCAGGACCTCAGTGACCTGCCTTCCTAACTAATATCTACTCATGGCCGGAATAATTAAAACCCAGGAGAGAGCCTGCAGGATGGATAATAGGACTTGGTAATGACCCTCTTTGTTTCAACAAATTCATATCGCAGTTCCTGAATTTTAAAAAGTGCTGTACAAATCGATTTGTTGACTGATAAAAAGTGAATAGTAATTAGTTTGTAATAAAATGATCTATTTCCATGCTTGCTGGTGTGATAGGGTGGGGGCAGAATAATAGGATTTCTGAAGCCAAACCCATTCAGGTAAAGCTTCTCTAGACCACTTCTGCAAAGTTACTAAAGCTAATTTCATCAGAAGAGCCAGAACCCCATATTTTATCTCTGATACTCAGTCTTTGCAATAATTTTTTTTCCAATCTTTTTTATTTATTGGCCCATAGAGCATCATATTAGGTCAGTAACCCAACAGAGTAAATTTGCTTGTTCTATCTCTTTCCTTCATAATCAGAAAGTCTCAGAGAGATCTGCTTTGGGGTAAAAACAAGCTTGTAGGATAGAGCAGGGAAATACAGATAATAATGATGATAATAAGAGCTACAAATTTTTAGCTTTTCCCATTAGCCAAGCATTGTAATAACTCCTAAACTGATATTATTTGGTTAAGTGTTCACAATGACCTTCTAAAGTACAGCATATATTATGCCAATTTTGCAGATTAAAAAAAAAAAACGAGGTTCAAAGAATCAAGAAAATATTTAAAAGTTCTACAGATAATTAGCACAAGAGCCAGAATTAGAACCCAGAGCAGAGTGACTCTTAGGCTGTGCTATTTCTACAATAGTGTGCTATATCTTTGTAATAAAGAAGCAGATAAATTAAATGTGAATATATCTACATTTGAGTAAGGCTTCAGAAAGCTTTGTGAATAACAACTGAAACTAGTGGGGTCTATCATTTGAACGTTCATACAGATGGAAAGATTTATAAAGCGTGACTAGCCATGCACTCTGAAGGAAGAGCAATACATATGCCACTAAACAATTATCTTAAACATGAATACATGTTATAAATTATGACTGTAACACATCAGGGATGCTCCCGTGACCCACTGGGATCTAATAATTGGGCAGCGGTTCCTAAGGAAAAAATACTATGCAGATATTTGTGTCCAGGAGATGTGGCAGTGACCAGTAGAATTCATGTAGCTTAGCAACATACATAGAATTCAAAGTGGAAGGCTGGCACCAAGTAAGCAAACTAGAAAATAGTGAAAGGTACAGTAGTCCCTCTAGAAGCCACGTGGTTCTGTGAAGTGATGGTCGAATGCTTAGCAGTGCTGGGTGGCCTTGAAGACACAACTAACTGGTAGTTGAGAGACTTGTTTCTGAGCACATGAGGGTACTGTGGTGGGCTTCCAGGAGTAGATACCATTCATGTGATTGCATCTGTAGTGACAGGCTTGTGAGAGCAGTGGAAGACAGACTGCACATGATTCACATAGTAAATAACACCAGATTCTGATACCTGTATACAAAAGGCAGCTCTTGTCAAAAGAATAGCCTACTTGTTTGGCCTCAACACTGTTAAATGTTCTCTTTTATTCTACTTTTATCTCTGGCTAATCTGTTCTGTTATAAGCATTGTTTCTTGGGATATATTATTATTTCCAATCACTCTATGATCACTGGCTTTGGTGATTCGAATATTTCTGCTCTGATTATTTTGTAATATACTTAAGATATATATCAAGGGGACAGCATTATTTTCAAGTTTGTAGACAGCAAACTCCACAGCCCATATATGACTTTGTTGCAGTTTCTCCTACATGAAGGAGAAATCTATCTGACATCATCTGAAGAACATTAGAGGGTCTTCATACCTAGTTTCCAGAACTGCTCCTTTAGATGGTATTCTGCAACATGAAAAGACCTCATTCATTTAGTAAGGCTAGTCCCCACTGAGATGGAGATTTATCCTCTTTTGCCCTCTCCCTATGAACTTCCACAATCTGCGTTGGTAGAAGAGGCACATGATTTTCTTAAGGAGTGCCAACACCCACACTGTGAATAGTAGTTTGACTCAGAGGTGATTCGATAGGAAGGTGACTCATCTTCCTTTTACTTCAGAGTTCAGTTTCTGGATCTCCTGTTTTAAATTAGTCAGGTGCAGAAACTGATCTGTAAGTCAGCTCATTCATTGTGAGGAAAAGACTAAGACTATCTCAAAGCACTTAGCACAGGGGTAGGCACACGCTACCTTTTGAAATAAGTGCCTGTTGGTAAGCTGGCTTGGAAAAGAGCTCCAACACAATCCCTGCTTACATTTGGAATAAGAGGAGCAACATAATAACATTTTATATTATATTTGGAACTTTTGGAGTATTTTCCAACAAAACCACCTTTATAAACCACAATTGCATATGATATAATAGGACAGGTATTATTAGTTTACCTTGATAGGAAAAGAGAAACAAGAGCTCCTTTTCTTTTTTTTAACCCAATTTTACAAAAATAATAACTCTAGTCATCTGGCCATCGCAATGGATAGTGTGTAGCTTTGGTTAATTTCAGTGTTTAAATTATGCCACATTTCTTTTTTTTTTTTTTGTAGACTTTCCTGGTATGAATAGCAAGCCTGAAATCCTTGAAAATGTAGTAAGGGTTTTGTTTTGTTTTGTTTTTTGTTTTTTAAAATGGGGAGATTACAGTGAAGTCTCTAAAGAAACAGGTAGAAATATTTAATATAGATAATTATGCAAACAAGGTTTTTATATCCTAAGTTTTAATAAAATTAGGTTTAACAAAATTCTCTAGGGATCAAGCCCTAAGGAGTTTATCAAGATGAGCATTCAACTGAGGAAAATTGAGCTTAAGGCTAAATTGATTTAAGGGTAAAAAAAAAAAATGCAATGCCTATCAGGGATCTATTGGAAAGAGATGAACTTATTTTTAGAAAAAAAAAATAAAACATCTGCACACATTTGAAAAAGTTCAAGTATTTTTTTTTGAACCTGGAGGTAATCTTCAACTATGCTAATCAAATGAGCCTGCTTGCAGCATGAGTGAAGAGAGAGAGAAGAAAATATGTATCTATTTTCTTCGGCCTAGGAATATTTTCAACTGAGGATTCAAATGTAAGACAGAAATGTTCTGATGGAATCCAGATCAAATGTGTGGTGATGAGGTCATATATGTGACCTCTTTTTGTGGAGACATACTTGGAAAAAAAGCAGACTATTTTATATTGGTATCGTCGTGTGTTGCTTAACAGTGAGAATATGTTCTGAGAAATTTGTCATTGATAATTTTGTAATTGTGAGAACATTATAAAGCGTACTCACACAAACCTACATTGGTATAGCCTACCACACACATAGGCTACATGGTAGAGCCTATAGCGCCTAGGCTACAAATGCAGCATATTACTGTTTTGAATACTGGAAGTAATTGTGACACAATGGTAAGTATTTGTGTATATAAATGTATCTAAACACAGAAAAGGTACAGTACAAATATGGTCTAACATATTTTTTAAAAATGGTATATCTGGCCAGGTGCAGTGGCTCACACCTGTAATCCCAGCATTTTGGGAGGCTGAAGCAGGTGGATTTCTTGAGGTCAGGAGACCAGCCTGGCCAACATGATAAAACCCCATCTATACTAAAAGATTAGCTGGCCATGGTGGCAGGCACTGGTAATCCCAGCTACTTAGGAAGTTGAGGAAGGAGAATTGCTTGCACCTGGTAGGTTGAGGCTGCAGTGAGTTAAGATAGCGATACTGCACTCCAGCCTCGGTGACAAAGCAAGACTATGTCCTAAAAAAAAAAAAAAAAAGGAAGGTACACCTGACCTGTATACACTTACTGAAAGTTGTACTGGGTGAGTCACTGAAGGAATGGTGAGTGAATATGAAGACCTCGTACATTACTGTACACTGCTGTAGACTCTATAAACACTGTACATTTAGGTTACATGAAATTTATAAAAAACTATTTTTCCTTCTTCAATCATATTAACCTTAGCTTACTACACCTATTTTACCTCATAAACTTAAATTTATGTTTTGGCTTATGAACTGTTTTATAGTAACACAGCTTAAAACACAAACACATTGCATAGTATTCAAAAATATTTTTTCTTTGTATCCTTATGCCATACTTTACTTTCTGTTCTCATTTTTTTTAACTTGTAAAAGTTTTATGTTAAAAACTAAGACACAAACACACATAACAGCCTAGGCCTACACAGGGCCAGGATGATCAATATCACTGTCTTCCACCTCCACATTTTGTTCAACTCAAAGGACTTCAGGGGCAACAACATGCATGGAGCGTTCGTCTCCTGTGATAACAATGATTTCTTCTGAAATACCTCCTGAAGCACCTTCCTAAAGCTGTTTTACAGTTAACTTTTTCAAAATATAAGAATTACACTCTAAGAGGACAAAAAAATTGTAGTAAATACATAAACCAGTAACAGTCATTTATTACCATTATCAATATTATGTAGTGTACGTAATTGTATGTGCTACACTTTTTTTTTTTTTTTTTTTGAGATGAAGTCTCGCTCTGTTGCCAGACTGGAATGCAGTGGTGCA